ACTTTCAATTACCCTTTGCAATATTTTCTTTTGGGATTAATAGTTATATTTTGTATTATTTCTCTTAATAAACCTTGGGAATTCAAATTTCGTTTGCATGCTTCCAATAATCTTAGAAAATGTGATAGACACACACACACACACACATATATATATATATATATATATATATATACTGCGGCAGGGTATAATAGGATTTTTTTTTGGGTTTATATGGATATTGATATTTTAATAACATATATTACATGTAATTTAAATATATCTTCATTTAACACACAAAATCAAATTTCATTATAATAAACTGGCTAGATATTATGTTACAAGTATTCTTGGAATACAAGGGAAAAACAAAACATATCTATGAAGAAATTAAGAAACTACACCATTGATAAAAGACAACCAAGTCAACCCTAAACTTGCCTCTCTTGTTTTCTTTTTATTTTTTATTTTACGCTTTATTACAGACAATATGCAAGTTTTATTTACTTTTACGATAAAACATAAATATAATTTATCATATGTATTTAGTTTACTGTATTGCAAACTTTGCGAATTTCACCTTGAAGACCGGTAAGGACTCCAATTTTACTCATTTTAATCATAGACTTTGTAAATTCAGGATTGAAAGCACGGAAAGTCAAAAATCGTTGGACAAAAGACCTGGTGGAACGGTCTGTCCATAGTACTTGATCGGATTGGAGAACTCCTTTACCGTTCCTCAAGTTTGCAAAGAAAGAGGTATCAAATTTGTCTACACTGCCTGTGTCTAATGGTACGCGCGTTGCTGGGTTGCCACCTTGAGGACAAAGAGCTTGTAATGTAGGGAGGAATGATGGGTTTATGGAAGGATCAGATGCACCAGCTGTTCCATTGAAATTGAATAATCTACCTGTAATTACAGCACATCCTGCGGTTCCAATAGTATGTCCGCCTGTAAATTGAACATATATAAATTAATATTTACCTTGGTAAGTTATAACTTATTAATAAAGAAGATGATGAGGATCAATATTATATATGAATCGATATTTACCTACGAGGACAACAAGATCCTGGATGTTGAGACCTTTTACAGAGAATTTTCGTTTTTGCTCAGCAACAGATTCAGTGGGTCCAGGAATGTTGGCACCAACTTCAGATTGCAATGAAACTCTTCCATCTCTTCGCCCTGTAGGAACTGCCCAACTAGGTCCTCCACTCTGGATCCACAAATGTCATGTTATTACATGGTAAAAATAAATTAATAATACCTTATTATGTACGAGTGAGTTGTGTACCAACATAAATACGATGAAAAAAATAAATATATGATGCATGACTAAATATTATTGATTACCAGAACAATAGAGTCACGTGTAGCTAGAGCAAGAATATCAGCACAAGAAACAACTCCAGGACATTTAGCTTCAAGTTGAGTCTTGGCATTCTGAATGACATCGAATCCCCTCAAATTTGAGTTAGGAATTGCAGTTCTCTCAGTGTTAGATCCTTCAAGGAGAATTGAGCCATCACAACCACGAACAAAACAATCATGGAAGTGCATCCTCAGCAGCCCAGGAGCAACAGTAGGGTCGGTATCAAAACGAGCTTGCACAGCTGATTTGACGATCGACTCCACTTGAGGACATGTGGTGGAATAGAAGCCAACACGAGTACCTCGACCAGTACCTCGGCCGAGCACTAAAATGGCATGCATGCCAAATATGACCAACATAAATATTGACAAACGGATAGTATTAGGCTTCATTTTTTCTTTTAGGAATTTACTATTTATCCTTTGCTTAGGTTTATCAGAACCAAAGCAAGCTTGGTACAAAGAATGTTGTAGGGGTAGCTGTCTGATTTTTTGAGCAGCAAATGAGATGTATTTATAGGCTTCATGAAGTCAAAATTTGAGGATAAAGTAAGCAAAGCCGGCCCCAAAAATATTATAAACGCTAATCCAGGTAAGGAAGGATTCAAAACATGTATGATGCCACAGCCTTAATTCATTCTATTAAGACTTTTTGTTTACAGACGAATGTTAATGTTAATTGATCCGCAGTAGTTCTACATACATATATACATATATGTATAGATATATGTATATAATACATATGCTTCGCCTTAAAGATAGGTATTTGTCAACCATTTATATTAAAAATTAATCCGTTGAGTTGTCATGTTCAGAGAGTGAATACAAAGGGAATTCTTTTTAGAACCGATAATTGAGTTATATTCTATCACTAACGTTAGAACGCGTACGAAAAAGAATAAAAATTTTAAAAAGAGTGGATAATATTTATAATATAAAAAATGAATATTAAATAATTTTATATTAATACGTACAGAAAGTTAAATTTTCTGTTCTTTCTTTCGTAGAAAATTAATCAAAATTATTCAAGTTTTTTAGCATCACTGATCGCCCAACTTGATTTTTTCCAAGAATATTTTTTAAAAATTAAATAATAAGTCAAATCATTTTCCATAAATTTATTGTGATACAGAAGAAGTACGTAGAGGAATTAGAAAGACTAAACTACATATGTTTAAGTACTATAGATATAGATTTTGAGGACGATTCTCCTAACTTTGATAACTATGAATCCATATATGGCATGAATCAGTTAAGTAGAAAGGTAAAATATCAATCTGCCTTTTTTTTTTTTTATATCATATTATATACATATATATATATATATATGTGTGTGTGTGTGTACCCTTTTGTTTCCTCATTTTTTCTATTCCATTTAGATGCATATATTGGTTGATTTGGAAAACAAGTAAAATTTACCATTAATTGTAATCACTACCCTATGATGGATGTTATATATATCGTACCAATATACAAACAATTTAATTAAATCAATTGTCTCGAAATCAAGCTAAAGTGCAAGATCATTTGCTTTCTTATTTCAATGGCGCGTCCAAGAGATCGCACGCCCAACACCCATAAATGTGAATTGATCTGATTATTCTCATAAATAAGCATTATTTTAATTATTTAATTCGCCTAATA